AGAGAGAGGGATAGAGAGTTAGAAACATCAATGAGAGAGAATCGTTGATTAGCTGCCTCCTGCACACCCCCAACTAGGGATGTGGCCGCAACCAAAGTACATGCCCTTGATCGGAATCGAACCTGGGAACTTCCAGTCCGCAAGCCGACGCTTTACCCACTGAGCCAAACCAGTTTCGGCTCTCTTTTCCTTTTTTAAACAGATTCAGGGTAGGGTGAAAACCAAGTAACCAGTTACAATAAAATGTGTTCAGGCTCTGGCTAGCAAACCATTCTGCCTGTTAGGAGAACACAATGCAAAGGGCAACTAACTGAAAAAAAGGAAACAATATAACCTTAGAAACTCTAAAGGTTTTTTTTTTTTTTTTTTTAATTTTAAACTGTTGCCATATACTTACCTGGACTTCTCTGGAACAGAAGCATAGAAAACTATCTAAACCTTTCCTTGTTGGTTTCAGGTCATCACTGGGAAGACCAAGCACTACAATAATGTCATACGGCATTTTAGGAATGAAGGACACTTTGCTCCTACTTTTTTGTTGTTGATTTTGAGAGAGAGGAAGGGAGGGAGATGGAGAGGGGGAGAGAGAAGCATCAATGTGAGAGTGAGAAACATCAATCAGTTGCCTTTCATACACACCCCAACCAGGGATCGAATCTGAAAACTGGGTATACGGTTTTGGAGCCTGCCACTTTGGGGTGTATGGGACAACACTCCAACCAACTGAGCCACATAGACCAGGGCTGCTCCTACTTTTAAAAGATGTGAACTTATATCTCACTCCCAGATCTTATTGCACAAGGTTATTGCCTACCTCTAGCCGTTACGCCCTCTCCCAATCTGAAATGACACAGAGAGTTAATCAGTAACCATAGTCCAAGTTTAAAATCTCCCCTTTTCCAGAGTAAAGTAAGCAGATTTATGGCAGTTCACCTGTTTTCTTTGATGTTCATTCATTTACATACAATTAAAGGAGGTGGCTCACTATGAACACAAATTTTGTGAATTTCAAAAAAAATTTACCCATGACAAACCTGGGAAGAGAGAGATAAAATATCTTACATCTAACGGGGACAGTGACTATAGTAACAACCTGTCTTCAATGAGCAGTACCTACTTATGTGCTGGGTGTGCTACCAGTTTAATAGGGATTAAGTATTTTAACCCTAACAATACCCCTATGAAATATGTAATTCTAATCTCCAGTAGATAAGAAAAATGAGGCCCACGTTCGCATAAAAAGTGGCTGGACTAGAATTCGAACTGCATGCTTAAGAAAAAAAAAAACGCCTTAAGTGTCTTTGCGGCCAAGCAGGAACAGTGTTAAGATTATGGAGCTGTGGCTCTCTACCTGGCAGTAAATTGTAATAATCTGGGAGATTGCCAGGGGGCCTCTCCCCAGCGATGGTGATCTGATTGGTTTGGGAGCTGCCCAGGTAATGCCAAGGGCCAGTCAAAGCTGAGAACCAGTGTGTGTAGACAGAGAGAAGGGTGCACGGCCTGCTTGAAAGGAGTTTAAACATGTTTAAAAGGTTAAGGAAACACTGGGCTGGTCACAAGTTGTTAGCATAGTCTCTGCCAACAATATGTAACCTCTGCCCCACTCCTAGGCATCAGTGAGGCACAGTATGGACGGCAGGCAGATCAGTACGTAGATATATTTCTATTTAGTGGGGAGAGGGTTGCTCAGGTTTGGGACTTCCTCCATGTCGCCCTACCATCTCCTCCTGATAGAACTGTTGTATTATAAAACACACGCGGTTAGAGGTAACCAACCGCCTTTCAAAGTAAACTCTGGAGAACAACCCATTCTTAAAGTGAAAATATCCTAAATATGCTCACTTAACAAACGTGTACCTTCAGATTATAGGGCCAAACTATGGAAACATTTCAAGAGTCATATATTTTTTTAATGTATTTTTCTTGATTTCAGAGAGCACGGGAGAGACAGATAGAAATATCAATTTATTGAGTACCTGCTATATTGCAGAGAGAGAATCGATTGGCTGCCTCCTGCATACCCCGACCAGGGGATCGAGCCCAAAACCCAGACATGTGCTTGATTCATAGGTCAACACTCAACCACTGAACCATTCCAGGTGGACTCATGAGTCATGCTTTTTATAGAAGGCCACTCATAATTAATGCTGATCTTAATCCAAGACAGATTAAGAGATCTCAGGGAACTAAACAAGTCTTAAGAATAGAGTTTAACGCCCTAAGAACAAATGCAGGTGGTACACAGCACCGCTGAGTCAAGTGTCATTTGTCATTGGAAAAGGGACACAAACCTGCATACCGTCAGAAAAGCTTCATTCTGGGGCCTGCAGATGTGAAATCCAAAATAAACGCTACGGAAGTCAACTGGGAATCCATTTTTTTAAAAAAAAATACACTGCAGCTTGCTTGGGAAACAATTCCTCATGCTTAATCATGTTATAATAGTTGCAGCACCACAGCTTAGGAGGAAATGGCAAAAGAGTAAAATTAAGAAATGGACTATAAGGCAAACCATGCAAACTAACTAGCTACATTTTTTTCTTCTGCAGCAAAGCCAATGCTGGCAGTTTAACTGTCCTGTGTTACCTGCACCCCCACTACCACCAAAAGAAGGTATATAAAAGAAGAAAAGACATTGAAATTGATTTTCAAAATGGAATGCTGCAAATAAAGGCCATGTCTCAGAAAGCAGGGGCTTGGTCAATGAGTTTCAACATTGGCAGGCAGTTGAGGCAAATGTGCTACCTGCACAAAGTATTTTGTTGCCGTTATGTGTTAGCACATTTTGTTTTGTTTTGTGTGGGGTTTTTTTTTGTGTGTGTGTTTTTTTTTGGAAACAGAGACTGGGAAGGGAAGCCTGAGAAAGCAGACTAACGTGCTTGGGGTTAAGGTTCTCACCACGGTTTTGGATAATTTTACTGGCTGATTGAAAGAATATACACTGATCCACTCCTGAGTGTCAGGCACTGTGCAGTGCTGAGCACGTACTGAGGAACATGACAGCACCTGCACTCACGGGTCTCCTAAAGCAAGAGGCCAAGGCGACAATTTCCCAGAGTTCACCACACAAGCCCCTTCCAGCCACGAGTGTAAAAACCCAGCCCTGCCTTTGTACTATCAGACAGAAAAATGTTCCCTCTGTCTAACTGCACTGAACTTCACAGGGAAGCACTGGTGTCATCTAAATGAACAAGTAAATAAATATATATCCATACTCTAAATACCAACTATATTATTCATGGATAAATGTCCACAAGCTAAAAAAATTTTTAAGTTAAGACTGTACCAAAATAGGTTTTTCCTTTTGAAGTAAGCCTAGCTCACATATTTTCACTGTCTGTGGCTGTGTCGCTTCAGGAAGCTAAAAATACTTTCCTTTCTGCTAAGTTGGGAAGAGCAAAAAAGACCAAGCAATGGGCCGTATATCATTTCCACTCATCTTAATTTTTTTTTTTTACTAGAAAACACTCAAAATAGCTGAAGCAACGAAAAGGCATCTGTTTCATATTTGTATACAGACACACTGATAGATACATCCATCCGGCCCGCATCCTCACAGTACTATGAAATAAGCTATATGTGCCTTATCAGCAAAGACTGTCAACATTTCACTACGCACAGCTTTTCGTTATTATTTTGGTTGAAGAGAAGGCTGCGTAAGTGTTGAAAACTAACCCAAATACAAGTAAAAGCTTTCAAAATACACATACAGGATGATCATGCTCTTACGAAGACAACTTGGTGGTTACTGCACAGTCATGCATCACTTATGTTTCTGACATTTACATTAAGTGAGATTTCAAAAGAGAAGGATGGAACTTTCAGTCTTTCTGCAGGTCTTGCTCAAGTTGTGTTCGCTATGTCTGGTAAAGCGAAAACACTGTATTTCTCTTCTTGGACTTCTCAAAGCTAACTTAAAACACACACAAACAGCTGAAACCGGTTTGGCTCAGTGGATAGAGCGTTGTTCTGCAGACTAAAGGGTCCCAGGTTCCATTCTGGTCAAAGGCATGTACATTGATTGCAGGTAGATCCCTGGTAGGGGGTGTGCAGGAGGCAGCTGGTCGATGTTTCTCTCTCATCAATGTTTCTAGCTCTCTGTCCCTCTCCCTTCCTCTCTGTACAAAAATCAATAATATATATATATATATATATATATATATATATATATATATATATATATGTGTGTGTGTGTGTGTGTGTGTGTTTGTGTGCGGATATATATATCCACAGACAAACACACACACACACCTACCCCTGTGATAAACTAAATGTTACTCAGGAAAACACTTTTCCCCACCGCAAAAACACACCTGCAGGATGGCAAACAGTGGTAGTATGGACTTTTCCGGTACCTCTAGAGTCCACCCTACTAAGTTAACAGAAACCAGCCTTCATGGGACAGACTAAATGTTACCGTGTAGCTGGAAGCTGTGAGGATTAGGCAATTGTGGCACATTGTGTGCAAAGAGGTAAAAGGTAGCACTGGGTCATTCGTTGTGGGCTGCTGGGATAGGGCTTAGTTTCCCTTGGAGAGAGAAAAAAAAATAGCACAGTTTGAGAAATCTCTGCCAAACTCCCCATTTCCTGGGATTACTGACACCTTCAAATGAAAAGCCAGTGGCTAGAAGCAGGGAACCATGCCCCGCTGGGATGGGCTGGCAGAACGGGCGCGAGGGCTGCTGGCTAGCCTGCCTGGACTGCACTGGGCCTTCAGTAAGAGCTGGAAGACAGGAGTCCGTGTGCCCATCCGCTGCCCAGCGGGTCCAGGGGCTGGTGCTCCCCATTCCAAAGGGAACCGCCTTTGGAACCCGGACGTCGGGGATGTCCAATCCCCCTGACACTCGGGACTCGGCGACCCTGCAGGGCTCGCCTCTGGTGTCCCCGAAGGTCAGAGGTGGCCCCCGCAATGCCAAATTGCTCACCAAAACCACTTTCCCAGCCAGGGGGGAGGCTCGGGGCAAAGTTGCCCGCCGGCCGGCGCGCCCCGCTCACCGTACCTTGCAGCTGGGCGGAGAGGGACTCCTGGTGCTGCTGGTACTTCTGCGCCACCGCCTCGGCTTTCCGCAGCTGCGCCTGCAGCTCGTAGTAGAGCATCGCGCCGTAGAGGAAGCCGAAGACCACGGTGAGCAGCAGCAGCGTCTGGAAGATCCGCTTCTGCTTGCGGGAGCACATCCCGTTGCCCATCGTCCCCGCCGGAGCGGACCGCGCGCCGCGGCCGTGCCCGCCGCCGCCGCCGCCGGCCCTTCCTCCCGCCGCCCGGGCAGCGAGCGCTCAGCAGCGGCCGCTGCAGGAGGGGCCGGGGCGCCGCATGGGGCGGGGAGGAGACCGAGACACAAAAGCAAAGCGGGGCCGACGGGGAAGTGGCGCCCGCTCAGCCCCCGCGCGCCGCGGGGCGCGCAGCCATGGACGCGGGCGCCGCCGAACTTTGGCGAGGAGGCTGGCTCTCCCTCTCCGCGGGTGCCGGGGCCCGCGGGGGCGCCCTCCGCATACTTCGGAGCGGGGTGTCCCGGCCGATCGGTTTCCTGCTCCCCACTTTTTTGGCCCGACTGCCCCCCGGCGGCACTCGCAGTCCCGCCCCGGCCGCTCCCCGCCCCCTCGCGGCGGGTCCCGCTGCGCGCGGCTTGGTGGCCACCCAGAGGGGGTGCGCGCCCCACAAAAGCTCCCGGGCTCCAGGCGGCGGCCCCCGGGATCGGGGGGACTAGAGGGGGCCCGGGGCTCGCCCGGGTGTGGGGGGGATGGCGGGCCGCTGTCACTCGACGGGGCTGCGGAGCCTTGGCAGCCGCTGCCGCCGCCGCTGCCTCCACCCACCCAACTTACGTGTCACCCACAGCCCCGCCACCGGGATTCCCGGAGGAAGTCCCACTCGGGCTCCCCGCTCATTGGGCCCGTCCGAGCCGCGTCTCCCTCCCTCCGGGAGGGCAGTGCCGAGCGGGATTGGACGCCCGCGTTGTCCGTCCGACCCCGGGCCGCGCCTCCCCTCCCCTCCCGCCACGGGGCAGCGCGGGCAGCGGGACCGCCCGGCGCCCGGTTGCGCCCACGTGGAGTGCGGGGGGTGCGGGGAGGCGGCGGGGCCCGGGGCTGGATGGGTGGGGTGCGCCGTGGACGTGTCCCGGCCTGAAACTGGGTGAGGCTGGGTGCGCACGTGTGTGAGTGCGCACGTGTGTGAGTATGCATGCGAGTGCGTGTGTGATCCGGTGCCCAAAGTATACAAATGGAGAAAGTGGATGAGAGCAGCTACCCTCCTTGGAGTGCCCTTTCTTTCTTTCTTTCCCCATCTTTCTTTTCCCCAGTGAGTAGATGGGACAGACACAAGGGGTAGTAGCTGCATGGTCAGCACAGTCTTCTTGGTGGGACAGGTGATGCCACTCTGAGTCTCTCTCGCCCCATCCAGGGTCACGAGTGTGAATGCGCTGGTGCCCGCAGATGGCTAGTGGGTAGACTGGCATTCTAGCGCTAGACTGACTGCTCCGCTGTCCACGTGGGCGGGGGGAAAACAGCTTGTCTTTGGCGGACTGGAAAGAAATGATCTCATTCCCCCCCCCCCCCCTCCATGACTGCAACTAGAATAATTTAAAAACAAATCTTACAGGCTGAAATGAGCACAGATTCATTTTGTCATATGTATTTGTTTTATTGGTGGCAAAGAAAAGAAAAAAGAAACCCACCCCATCAGTTACACTGCTAAATTACATTTGAAAGGCCAACAAAGGTTCCCTATGTAAAAAACAAGTAAAGCAAACATAATAAACACAAAGGCCTCCAAAGAAAATCCATAGTGCATTTGTTCTTTCTGTGTACTGGAGAGGGGGGAAATTGAGGTTATGCATAAATAATTTTGTTTCAGCTCTTGACCTGAATTCTAAGAAAGCAAATTATTTCTCAAACGCCTCAGTGGTGTCGTAGAATGTATTACCTACTGCATAATTATAATGATATTCTAACCAGATTTTAGTAATCAGTAATGGCCAGTGAGTGCTCAAAAAAAAAAAAAAAAAAAAAAAAAAAGTAGATCTGTTTAGCCAAATACAACATAAAGACAGTCCCTGGTGCAGGATTTTAGGTTGGCTCTGAAGTTAGAGGATGCTAAAAACCATAAAAAGAAACTGAATTTACAACCTAACTAGACTGACATAAATTTAAACTACCGTGAAAACTAAGTGTACGTGGCATGTGCTCTTCCCTAATAAATAACATACAGTATATTGTTCGCAATGCTTTCATGTACACATACATTATCTCCCTTGTCACAGACACGTTAAGTGCAGATGTTCCTCATCTTACGTTGGGATTATGTCCTGATAAACCTATCATAAATTGAAATGATCTTAAGTCGAAAATGCATTTAATGCACCTCCCCTACAGACTAGCAAAGCTTAGCCTAACTTAAATGTGCTTACAACACTTACATTAGCCTAAAGATCTCAGATAAATTGAGCAGAATTATCTAACACCACGTCTATTTTGTAATAGTATAAATATCTCATGTAATTTATGCATATGGTTTTCACAGCATCATCAAGTCAAAAACTCATACGTCTAAGTCAAACGATTTTAAGTTGAAAAACTTTGTAAGTCAAGGGCTATTATAAGTCAAGGACCATATGTATTAAGGTTCATGTTCTGGTAAGTAAAGAAGCCAAAGTTTATCAAAGTGACTGTGATAGTTCTAGCACCTTCTAGGTCATGCAGAGAATTAGGAACTCATAGGATTCGAACCCAGGTCAGAATCCTGCCTTTCCCCTTTCTTTCTCCTATAGAGGCCAGGTTGTCATTTGTTTTAAACAAGTTGTATTAACAACTTGTATCTGGATCCTTAAAAGGAGAGCCAAAATTAAAAAGAAAAAGTTCTTTGAAGAGTTTTGTTCTGTCACATAACTAGAATATAGCCTTGTTATTAATGGGGTGTTCTCTGTGTTCCCCCTATTGCTAGTGGAAGTAGACTCTTCGGCTGCCACAGAAATAAGATTTTTCCCGAGACCCCCATGGAAGGATGAGGTCTCATGGAAAACTGTATTCTTTGGAATTAAACCCCTGGGTTTCCAAAGTCCCATCTCTCTCCGTTCCACCATGGAAAATGTCCCCTTCTGTCTTCAGCGGGGCTTAGGTCAAAGCCATCGCCCCGAGCTTCTGTTCTGGGCATGCACAGTCCAGTCCAGCCTAGCATCTGGCTAGGTGAGCTTATGTCCCCAGCTGCAGTCCATTGTGTGTGGGGCCAGCATGGTCCTGGGCCATGTGGCTTCTAGGGCCTCATGGCAGGCTAGCATGGGCCATGGAACAGAGGAGTGCAAGGAAGCAAGAGAAGAGCAAAAGGAACAAGAGAGAGAGCATGCCCTTGTCTTTGGATTGTGTATTCCTAAGTTTTCTCAAGATTCTATTGGGTCCACCCTCCTAGCCAATGATCTTTGTCCCCAGGTTACCCTGACAAGCAAGCCTCCTCCCTGCATCACCCTGACTTCACTGCCCATGTGCCCATCTTCCTCTTTGTTGACCCCCCTCACACCTGCCCACCCACCCCCCTGACACACACACACACACACACACACACACACACACACACACACACCGTGTTTGGAATGGACAAGGAGTTCTCTGGGGAGTATGAAAAGGCTGTTTCCAGGTGAAGCTGCCCAGAGGACCTTGCTTCTAATATCCGGCCTTCCCTTTGTTTCCTATCTATCCTATCTAATAAAGAGGGAGTATGCTAATTGACCGTCACACCCTCACAAACATGGGAGCACCCACAGCCAATGAGAAGGGAATATGCTAATTGATTGTCACACTCTCCAAGATGATGGCATCCACAGCGGCAAGATGGCAGTGCCCAGTCTCCTCAGGCCCACCAGGGTGTCTGCCTCCAGAGTCCCCCCAAGTCCCCTCAGCCTCCCAGCCACCTAGGGCCAGCCTGAGGCACAGGCAAGCCTCAGATGGAGGGTGGCTGCCCAGCACCCGGGGCCACCTGAGGCTCTGGTAACCACGGTTGGCTTGAGGCTTGTGCTACTGGCAGTGACAGCAGTAGAGGTGTGATGGGAACATCGCCTTCCCCTGATTGCAGGGTCACCTGCTGGCCCTGAGGGCTCCCAGACTGTGAGAGGGGGCAGGCTGGGCTGAGGGATCCACCATCCAGTGCAAGAATTTTTATGCACTGGGCCTCTAGCTATTAATATTAGTATTCAATGACTACAGTACCAGCCTTACTTGTTATTGAATTTACTGCTTTAAATTTCTTTTTTTTAGTTTGACTCATAGAAACCAAGTCTGGATCCTTCCTGTGATCTTGTTAAATTCCTCATAACTGAAATTTCCTCACCATTGCCAGAGTACAATTTGCTAAACTCTTCCCTTGGAAAAAAAACAAAAAAACTTCCCAAAACTACTCTGGAGAAAATAAAGTTTTATAGTTACAATCCTAGGCCATACTTAAATAGAAAATTACCCTAGTCATAAAAGAATAAGAAATTGTACAGAGTGTTAAGAAATTATTTTTTATATATTATACAGTTTGCAGTATTTAGTTGTACTTCAGAACTTTTGGACAATCCTTATGCTTCCGGAATACGTGATAACTCATTTCAAACCTCTGATTTCTTCATATCTTATTCCAGACTCCATATTTAGGTATTCTTTGCCTAAAGCTGCTGGCTGGCTGTTCAGAAAATAATAAATGTGGGCCATAAAACATAACTCAATATTTAGTCATGAAATTTGAAAAAGAACAAAAATTATTACCTGAACTTATCCATTATTTCAAATTCAAGAAGGATATGTAGAAATACATAAAATCACTAATGGCAGTGTCTTTATATTACTTTTCCAAGGTGAAATATGCTGCTAGTTTCTTGAAAATACCAATAGAGAGCTTTTGGGAAACCAACATGGGGGAAGGTATCCAGGGCCTATAAATTGAATTTACATAAGATTGCTTTCGGGTAGAGTTTGTAATAAATGGGCTAGTTATACTAGTCTTGCCACATCCATTGTTACTTTTATTTTATTTTTGTTTCTTTATTATTTTAATAATAGTATCATGTAATTCTATTTTTATTTGCCATATGTTTAAATTATATATATATATATATATATATATATATATATATATATATATATAATCTAAAATTTGTAAGTCCTGAAAAATATCACCAATTTGATGTTGTTTTCTAAGGTAGGCAGAAATGAAAGAGATTCAAGGTCTTACATTTGAGAAGGCCTAAGGTAAGATTAGGGAACCTCGACATTCTCTTCAGTTTCAGTAAATTTGTCATTCTGGTAAAATTTGTTTATTTTCAAAAGAGGGGAAAGCAAGAAAAATATGGCTAAGGGATATAGCCAGTACCTATTTGTAAAAATGAGTGATTTTAAATTAATAATATTAAGGATCCTGAAGTAAATAATTTTCATTTTCTGAAATTTCTCAATTAACTCTTTACTACAAATTAAATTCAATTTTTTTTTAATTTGTAAGAGAAGTCAACATCTAAGAAAAGGTGATGAATATTAATTAATTTTTTAATAAAATTTGTAACTGTGTCTGGTCATGGATGTTAAGTAGACTTATTCTGGTGATTATTTTGCAATAAATGCATATATGACATCATTATATTGTGTACCTGAAACTCATATAACCTTATATGTTGATTATATCTCAATTAAAAGTCAATAAAATTTTAAATAGTGTTTCAGTATTAAGAAAGCGGTTTTAACCTTTTCATGTGAAAACTGCTGAAACCAACTTCCCTTTTCTCTTCAGGAAACTTCACTCTTATCTCTGCCTTTTTGCCACTTCTCCCTTGACTATCATTTAGTGAACCCACAAGCTTCTCCTTGCCACGTTTGCCTGACCAGTGTTGATTGGTAAAGTGGCCTCTGTGATCCATCTCCAGCAAGGCTGGCTTCTGATGGAAACGGTTGCTGATTTTCCCAGAGCAAACAGAATGTAGGGAGGAGAGAAGAAGAGGGAAGAGCAAGGAGCTGTGCAAGTGGGCCAGCATCATGGTGAAAACCCAGAGGCACCTGCCTCAGCTAGACGTGGGACGTGGAGGCAATTAGAAAGGGCCTCATGCCAAAGCTGGTTTGGCTCAGTGGATAGAGCGTCAGCCTGCAGATTGAAAGGTCCCAGGTTCG